GTGACAATAAAGGAGAGCGTCTTATTCACAAAAAAAAAAAAAAAAAAAAAAAAAGTGGCTGGTGGCGGGCACAGCCACTAAGCAGCAGTGGCGGCTGCCGCGCGGTGACCGCTCGGACTCCAGGCAGAAGACCTGAGGCACCGGACCCCACGGCCCCGCCCCCGTCGCACCCGAGACTGTAAACGCCTCGGACCCCGGAGGGAAAACCCCTAACCAGACCCGTGGACCTCGGGGCAGGAGGCAGCTGCACCTCAGCCCGGGGCTGGCCACAGGCACAAGTCCCGTGCGGGGCGGCCCGGGAGCCCTCCGGCGGAGCGCCCGGAGCATTGTTTCCCTCAGGCCCGCGGTCCGGGCACAAGCCCGTGCACGCGCACCCGCGAGGTCACACACACACTGGCCCCCAGCGCGCTGCCCCGCACGCCCCCGCCGCACACGCTTCGGTCCGCCCCCAGCCGCCCGACCCCGCGGGGCGCGGGTGCGGGCCACAAGCGCGTGCACAGGCACTCGCGCCGCGGGGCCCCTCCGGCGGCTCTAGCACGCCGGCCCGCGCGGGGACCCTGGCGCACCAGACCCCCGCGCAGCCAGCGCCTGTCCTCCTCTCGCTCCGCCGTGTTTTTTATGAATGAAAATGTGGTATGCAAATGAGAGCGATTCAAGAAAACGAAATGGCGGAGCCTAGGCCCCAGTGGGCTCCGGAGCGGACTGCGGTGCTAGCGGCGCGGCGGGAGTCACAAAGTCACCGTGCAAAACCCACCGGCCCCGGGAAGCCGGAGTCGGGGTGTCAGGTCTTTCGCTCCAGCCGCCGAGGATTTCGGGGGCGTGGGAGCTGTGAGTCCTCGGAGAGGGAGCGGGGATCGCCCCGAGGTCACCCGCGCGCCCTTGGCCCCCGCAGCGGCCACCAGCCCGCCGACCCTAGGCGTGCGCCCGCCAGCTCGCGGCAGTTTTGGCCCCCTCCTCACTTCAACAGGCAAGGAAGCCTCACGTCCCAACCCTGACAGGTCAGGGAGTCGCTGCACCCCACGCCAAGTTCACCCAATAAGCCTCCCCACCCGCATCCTCAGCCCCGGCCCCCACGCCCCCGTGGGGCACCCTCGTCCCACCTCGCGACCAAACTTACTCGTCCGGGTGTGTTTCTTCGGTCATTTTCTTGTTCACCTAGACGCCTGTCCCGCGGCGGGCAGCTTTGCTCCCTTCATCTTCCTGTCTGCTCGCCCCCCTTCTTCACATCTCCGGAGATCGCCTGATTTGGGGAGGGGGGGCGGCTGGAGATGAAGGGGGCGCCGCAGGCAGGCGGGGAAGCAAGACGCGGGGTGAGGTTTGGGGGAAGCGGTGCAAAGGCAGGCTGCGCGCGGAGTGAACGCCGCAGCGCCGAGGGGCGAGGCGGGCGGGGGCTCCGGGGGCTCAGGAACAGGCGGAGGGGGCGAGATTTGGGAAGGGGACGGTGGTGGGGCAGAGCAGGAGAAAAACAAGCGCGCCTCGGAGCGGCGGGGACTGCTGAGAGGAGGAGAGCGCCGGCCGCAGGTCGGGGCTCGGTCCGGGGTCGCCCCCGGGAGGCCTGGCCAATCACGGTTCCGGGGAGCGGTCGGCGGCCGGGGTAGGTGCGCCTGGGAGGCGGTGCAGGGCGCCCCGTCCGAGCCCCATCTCTCGACTCCACCGATTTACTCCATATTGGATTCTCACCGCCGCCAACAGGAGGAGGAAGTAGGGCGGAAGCGATGACGTCTTCCCAGCGGCCAGAGGTGGTGGAGTGCAAAAAGCTTCCTACTTGCGACCGAAAAAAAAAAGGGGGAGAAGAAAAAAAAAACTTTGTCCCGCCTACTGAGCACGCCCGGCTTCCTCTCCCCCTCCCTACTGGCTTCCACTCCCCGGGGAGCCGCCGGGCCGAGTTGTTTGCTTGCGCCGTGACCGTCTGGCTCCGAATCCTCCTTGGTTAGGGCTCCGGGTTTTAGGAAGCCCGAGAGGAGGGAGGAGGCGGGAGCCGAGGACTGATACACATCTGGCTCCCGTTTTTGTCCCCTCCCTCCTTCCAAACCCCAGGATTAAAAATCGGGGGGTTGGGCGGGGGCGGAGATGGGAAACTCAAGGGAGGGGAGGGAGTGAAACAGCTGAAGGGGTGCTCAGGCTCTAAGGAACAACTACCCCCACCACGGGGTGGGAAAGTAGGGGCGGCGCAGGTGCCAGGGGCTGGCTTCTCCAACCCAACCTAACCAGAAAGGGAGGGGGTTCGACTTTGCCAAGATTCTGAATGGCAGAGGCTTTTCTGTTTCACGTGCAGCTTGCCCAGAAACGTTTGCATTTCCGTAGCAATTACGGAATTTCACCAGTTAAGAGGCAGCCGCGGCCGGGCGCGGTGGCTCACGCCTGTAATCCCAGCACTTTGAAAGGCCGAGGCAGGCGGATCACCTGAGGTCAGGAGTTTGAGACCAGCCTGGCTAACATGGCAAAACCCTGTCTCTATTAAAAAGACAAGAATTAGTTGGGTGTGGTGGTGGGAGCCTGTAATTTCAGGTACTCGGTAGGCTGAGGCAGGAGAATTGCTTGAACCCGTGAGGGGGAGGCTGCAGTGAGCCGAGATCGCGCCATTGCACTCCAGCCTGGACAAAGAGAGTGAAATTCCAATTCCATCACAAAATAAATAAATAAATGCCTCAATTTAGTATTCCTAAAATTTACATGCATATGGGAGCCACAAGTGCTCCAAAGCATTTCACCTTGAGTCACGGAGAAACTGGTGATTTACTCAAGGCTTTGTGCTTATCACAGCCATGATCTCTGTGGACATGGAGTGAGGCTCACGGTGGTGGTGATGTGTGGTCGTGGGGAGAGCGTGAAACAGGGGATGGAACACACGGGTTCTGGTTTTCTCCTAGCAACCCTGAGACCCCGAAAGAGTTTTCTTATAAAACAGGAATATCAAGGCCAAAGTACTAACCAAAGGCAAAATCTCATTGTCCTCTAAATCCATAGAAGGCTAAGGAGCCAACCCCGTTCTCACCTTTGGCATGGTTGCTCTTCTCCCTGGGAGTGCTGAGATCCCATCCTGTTATTCCTGCGCTTCCCAGAACACAAGCACTTACCCATGTCAAAATTATCCACCCTATGGGCCTCTCTTGGACTCCACCCTCCAGTTTCAAGGTATGCAAATGGCAAGGTGGCAGGTGAGGTGATTATTAATTTCTGCAGGTAGGCCAGCTCTATGAGCAGGCTAAATTGGTGTCATCACCACTCACTCAGCCAGCTCTCTGCCAACAGCAGTGAACGACTGGCCCAGCCTATGGACCAGGTTGCCAGGGGAACAATAGTAAACATTCTAAGGTCCAGAAGTCCCCAAGTCCCCACTGGGATCACCTGGTGCCAGACTCCAGCTCGGCTATCTCAGGCAGGTCCTCTAAGTCTTGAGTTCAGTGTCTGTTGTATTGGAATAATAGCCACAACATACGGTTGCTGAGAATCTTAAATGGGCTATACAGTGAAGGCACTGTATTAAGCATACCACATGCAGATTCCAGGTAGCCCTTTCCATTCTCTGGCCAGCTAGTTTACTAAATGCCCACCTCCCCTCTGTCCTTCACGTTCCTTTCAATAAAGCCTGCTAGTTCTCTTCTGCTTTGTTCATCATCCAAAAGGGGCCTTTTGATAGAAACATTACTAGCAGGTCACCTCTTGGTCCTCCCCATCAATTACTGTGGTTGAGGCAAGTCTGACTCCTGCAGCTCCACAGAATAAATGAGGATATTGGGCGAATAACTCAGATATGTCTGTTGATCTGAACATCAGGGTTTTATCAAAGTCCATTGCGTTGTTGCTGCAATAGGGGATATTGCGGATTTAGGGCTTTAATTGAATGCCACTGCTGAAAAGAGCTAAGGACCCCCATCCCTGACTCTCCCCGCAACCCGCAGAACGGGGAGGAGGGTGTGGGAAGTTCTGAACGCGATCAAATCAATAGTGTTCAGTCACAGTAGGACCGTAAAGATTCAAGAGTAATATCGATCTGCTCACAACTTCACGCAAACCCAGCGGGGGCCCCCAGCAGGTCCCCCACCTACAGGCCTCTCAGTTCCGAGTCCAGGGCGGGGGAGAACCCCCACCCGGGCCCTTCCCGCGGGCCGCCCGGAAAGCCCGGAGCGCGGAGCCGGAGCGACCCTCCGCGGCCGGGGACGGGCATGCTCAGTAGCCCCGCAGGTCCTGTTTCACTGGGAAGCCAGCCGCGGCCCCCACCCCTCCCGCCAGGCTCGGGCGCCAGGAGAAGCGGACATTTTAGCCTCCTCTGCAATCCGCTCTCTCGTTCGTGTCCTTCGCCCCCTCTCGTCCGTCCGGGTCCGGTAGGGCCGGGAGTGTAGACTTCCCCAGGGGCGGGGTGGGATCTGAGCAATACCTCGCCCTCCCCCTTCCCAGGGGCGGGGAGAGGGTGATTTAGGGAGGACTCCACGGGGCCCGAAGGTTCGCACCGCCCCGCCACGGCCCGGCCCGCAGAAGCCCCCCGCTGCCGCGGCGCCCCCGCTCCCCGCCCGGCTAGGCGCGCGCAGCTGCGCTCGGGCCTGTCCTCGCCTCACCCCCACTCAGCCCCTTCGGTATTTCTCAATGACCGGCGCTCCGAGGACACTTCCGACGCGGGAGGGAGGGGTGTCATTAGCGCTCGGTTTATCAGTTCCTTCCGGTCTCCCGGAGCCCAGCCCTGAGAGCCGCCCGGCCGCGCCTCGGGCGATCTGGAGCCTTTATTATGATGTTTAAGTAAGCAGTCGTGTGTGCCAAGTGAGTTTGTAGCCCAGCTGTCTCCCCCAAGCCCCGCTGGCAGGAATGGAAACCCAAGCTCTCTCGTAATGCAGGGGATGATGCAAACTTAGAAACTGACCCGGCGCCAGGGAATGAGCCCCCCCCCCCTCACCGCCCCGGGCGTGCGGCGGCCCAGTCGGGGCATGAATGGCTGGAGCCCGATTGCATAATCTGCGCGGTATAAATAGCCGGCGGGCGGGCAGCTGACGCTCGGTTGTGCCGTTATCGTGCAATGCTTCATGCCCAGTGCCGTTCACTCCCAGGTCGTTTTCTCTTTCAGCTGCAATGCCGGGATTTTAAATAGCAGAAATGAAAGGCCCCTGCCCCCGCCTCCCTCCTCCCCTGAGTTCATGTATTATGAATGAAACGCCAGCCTCGCTGCTTCCCTGAGGTTGCTCCACTTCAGGTAGGAGAGAGGCTCAATGTCAAGGCAGCGAGCTACCAAAACTTGGGGGGTGTGTGCGCGCGTTGGGGAGGGCCGGAGAGCAGGAAATCATTGACAGGCTGGGAAACAATCTTTTCGAGAAAATGTAACCACTCAAGGTGTGCCTCTGGAGTTTCAGTTTACAACTGTACAAGCCTCAGTCAGTTTAAGAATGGATTATGCAAAGGGGCTTTCGACTGTGGCTTGCGCGCCCCACACCCTAGGCCGCTGTCTCTGTGGAAAGTGCTGTTTCATTCAGAGGAGCTGGTTCCTGCCCTCCGAGGGAGGCAGCACACATCCCCCCTTCCCTCTCATCCCCTACTTTAAGATGAGCCCTGAGGACCCTTGAGGGTCGAGAAAAGCGAATGCTGGTCACTGTAGCCATTCTCTAGTTCCAGAACCCCCTGGAAGCTTCAGCGAGGTCCAAAGCTGAGTTTCAAAACGTATTTTTTTCCAATCGTTTTTCATAAATAGGTAGTCATTTTAAAAATTAAGGGATTCAGCAAGTTTTCTTCTTCTCATAAATGCCAAATATCAGCTTAGTTTCTTAACATAAAAACGGCCAGTTCTTCACTAATGGATTTCTGACATGTGAAGGGCAATGGTCAAGGTCATGGTAATTTTTGCATTGGATACCCATTGCTCCAGTCTGCGTTGAAAGCACCGGGGCTCTATGAGGCAATAGATACAGAGGTGAAGAAACCCAGGCTCCTGCCCTCCAGGGATTCGGTGAGCTGAGGCCACAGCATGTAAAGAACACGTGAGGCCATGAGGTAACCGCTTTGAAAAATGGAGTAAGCAGAAGAGAAAGCAGGGGTCAGGGAAAGGATCCATGAAGGACGGTGGGAGTGCCCTTAGATAACTGGAAGGGGAGAGATTTCCAGGATAAAGAGCGGGGTTACCACAAAGGCCCTAGGTGTGGAACAAACGTTGGGGGGAGGAGGAAGGAGGTGCGGGAAAGGGTGGAGAAGGGTAGAAGCCAGGCCAGGGAGGTCACACAGGCCTTGCTGAAGAAGGTTACCCTTTAGTTTGAAGTCATGGAACCTTTGTGGCCGGTTCACAGTTGATCTTTGTCTAGTCACAGATCTCAGCATTGGCTCCCAAAGTTATGCAAATGTGGGGCAAGTGGGCATCTATTGTTCCGGGATTAGGGCAGCAAACCAAATTCACAAACTGACAGACAGCTCCTAGGCCAGATAAGGCCCCAGACAAGTTTTGTTGTGCCTGGTGTTTTTTTTTTTTTTTTTTTTTTTTTTTTTTTTTTTTTTAAATCAAGCTAACAGCTTAAAACCGGAATATTTTACATAAAACTCAATATTTTTGGCTCCTCCTGAAAAAAATTAAAGACTTAGCAACTGTGAGTGCCAGATTTCTGCTGGGTAACTGTGGATGGTTGCTGAGTAGAGGCTGCCCTGTTTGTCAGGCTTCTGGCTCCTGGAGGCATTTGAGCTTTTGACCCCTGGCATAAAAGGATGTTTTGTGACTGGGTGAAGGCCCCCATCTGAGACCCCAGGCAGGTAGAGCTTGTCACTGGGTAAAAGCAATTTGCATGAGGAGCCCTGGGCCTCTTGGGAGGCCAATCTCCAATCTCTTTCCCCAAAACACTGTATTCTAGCTAGGCAGGCAAGGCAGAGTGGATTAGAATGGGCCTACCCACAGCCCACTGGCAGGGAGCAGTGAGGCTCCTAAAATAACAATGAATACTGATCCCAGCTTGGGCTCTGTTTCTAGGGAACCCAAACTAAGAGAAGTAGGCTCTCTCCCACGAGGGGAGCTGAGAGGGGGTTCAAGCGATCAACTGGGCAAATCACCAAATTTGTGGAACAGGTTTTACAAGTTACATAACCAAATAGTTTAAACGGGGAATGCTAGACTCAGGTTTTACACTTTTATAGGCTATTCTAGGCATGAAGGATGGTTTGTAAGGTGCAGAGCAAAGACTGGTTTGGGAGAAACTTTCCTCTTCGGAGTACGTGACAAAGCACAGTGACAAGGGCCATGGAAAGAAGTAACCAATTCCAAAGACACAAATGGGGTAGAAATGACTTAGTTTTGTGATCTATTAGATACGGGGGCTCATGAAGAGGTCTAGGATAAATTCCAAGTTTCTTTCCCTTTTCCTTGGGAAATTGGGTGTTTTCTGATCCCTTAACATGATCAGGGTAATAGGTAGGGAGTAGGAGGAAGGTCAGGATCACTCAAGATGAAGAGACACAATGGGCAGTTGCTACCACGAAAGTCTGGGACCCACACAATAGGTCAGAGACTGAGGGATATAGATAGGACAAGACCGAGTGCGCAGATCCTGGAGGTGGAGATGGGGAGACAGTACCCTGAAGACATCATTTGAGGAACTGGATTCAGCCTTGCCTGAAGCCTGTTGATGCTCTGGACTTTTAAGATGTAAAAGCTAATATATCTTTTTTTTTTTTTTTTTGCTTGAGCTAGTTGAGTTGGGCTTTTGTCATTTGGAGCCCCTAAAATTCTAGCTACCGAAGTAGAAAACCATCATGCTTTGGATAGTGAAAAAGATTGAGAGGAACTAAGGAATGGAGCATAAGAGGAATTTTAGAATGTGTGTTTGCAATTTAACACAGGAACATCTGGGGTCTTTGCCAGGGAGTTTCATAGAGACTCTGATTTACTAGAACAAACTTCTCCCAGGAAGTTAGTCAACACTTTATGAGTTGTGCTGTCCTCTCTTTTTAGTCTCGGCATCCTATCATCACTACCTTAATTCACATCTTCACCTCCCTTCTCACTCCTAATAACATGCCTCATTTTTACTACCTTTATTTCCCATCCCTTCTGTAAAGACCAAAGCTGGGAAAGGAAGCTTAATAATATAAGAGAATCAGAGCTTTTAGAACTGGAAGAAAATGAAGCATCATATGTTTGGCAACTCTGACTTCAGTAAACCAAATATTTTACCCAAGCTTTTTGGAATGGATAAATATTAAGGAAGAAAACAAAATACAATATATTGTATCAGTTAGTTTTTGCTGTATAACAAACCACCACAAAATCTAGTGGCTTAAAATGATGAACATTTTACTGTTTCTCATGAGTCTCTGGTCTGGGCTGGCGGATGGTCTAGGATGGCCTTGCTCATGTATGTCATGATTGGCAAGCTGATTGCTCTGGTAGGGCCTGAGCTGGGCCACCTCATCTCTGCTCCACATGATCTGTTATCCTCCAGCAGGCCAGCCTGAACTGCATCACATGGTGGTGGTGGCAGGATTCCCAGATCAGCAACAAGAGAACAAACGCCAATGTGCACGCACTTGTTAAACCTCTGCTTGCGTTACATTTTTTATCACATTAAAGAAGTCACACAGTTGACCAGTCACGGTGGCTCACACCTGTAATCATAGCACTTTGGGAGGCTGAGGTGGGCAGATCACCTGAGGTTAGGAATTCAAGACCAACCTGGCCAACATGGTGAAACCCTGTCTCTACTAAAAATACAAAAAATTAGCTGGGCATGGTGGCAGGTGCTGTAATCTCAGCCACTCAGGAGGCTGAGGCAGAAGAATCGCTTGAACCCTGGAGGCAGAAGTTGCAGTGAGCTGAGATCACACCATTGCACTCCAGCCTGGGCAATAAGAGCAAAACTCCATCTCAAAAAAAAAGAAGTCACACAGTCAACCCAGAGTCAGAGTCAAGGAGTAGTGAAATAGACTCTCCTTGTTGATGAGAAGAATGGCAAAGTTGTATCATAAGGGATATACATACAAGATGAGAGGAATTTGTAGCCCTCTTAATAATCTACTTCAACCCCTAATTGAAATTTCACAACCTAGAAAGGGATATTTGTTTTTTGTTTTTGTTTTTGTTTTTTGAGATGGAGTCTTGCTTTGTTGCCCAGGCTGGAGTACTGTGGTGTGATCTCAGCTCACTAAACCTCCACCTCTTGGGTTCATACAGTCCTCCCACCTCATCCTCCATAGTAGCTGGGGCTACATGCATGCACCATCATGTCTAGTTAATTTTTAAAATTTTCAGTACAGACAGGTCTTGCTATGTTGCCCAGGCTGGTCTTGAACTCCTAAGCTCAAGTGACCTCCTGCCTTGGCCTCCCAAAGTGTTAGGTTACAGGTGTGAGCCACCGTGCCTACCCAGGATATTTGTAATAATAATATACATTTGTCTAACATATGATTTATTGTATACTTATGTATACAAATATAAAATATAAACATGATACCTGTATAAGTACATGTATGATATATGTAAGTATATTTGTTTTTTTTTTTTTTTTTTTTTTTTTTTTGAGATGGAGTTTCACTCTTGTTACCCAGGCTGGAGTGCAATGGCGCGATCTCGGCTCACCGCAACCTCCGCCTCCTGGGTTCAAGCAATTCTCCTGCCTCAGCCTCCTGAGTAGCTGGGATTACAGGCACACGCCACCATGCCCAGCTAGTTTTTTGTATTTTTAGTAGATACAGGGTTTCACCATGTTGACCAGGATGGTTTTGATCTCTTGACCTCGTGATCCACTGGCCTCGGCCTCCCAAAGTGCTGGGATTACAGGCTTGAGCCACTGCGCCCAGCCGTAAGTATATTTTTATATAGGTATACTATTTATATATAGGAGTACTACTGGTGAAATCCACTTCTCCCTTTACAGTCTGTGATTTATGGCCAACTAAAGCTGCTTAATGTTTAGTAGATTTGTGCATGCTGTAAAACTCTTCTTAATTAACTTAATGAATCAAGGAGGAGTCCTTACATGGACTCTTACGCTTGCCCTTCTCTGTCAGCTTGAAAATCCTCTTTCTCTTATGCCTTACATCTTAAAATAGGCATGTTCCTGAAGAGATCTGGGCAATTAAAATGTTTGTAAATCATAAATCAAAGCACATTTAAAAAACACCAGGAAAGCTTAACTATTTAAGGTTATTTTAGATTGGATAATTTGGAAAAGCAAATAATCACTCCTAAATTTGTTCACATAACTCATATTTTATATATAGTTTTGG